TCCTGAGCTGGAACCACGTCCCACACAGGAGGGTATCTAACATGGTGGTTCCGAAATCAAGCTACGCGTTTTCACGTGTCCAGGCCACACAGGTGGGTATCTAACATGGTTGTCCCGAGCTGGACCACGTGTGTTTACGTGTCCAGGCCGCCCAGGGGGTATAACGTTTGTTTTCGCGTGTCTAGGTCTCCCAGGCGGATGTCTAACATGAAGATGTGTTGAGGATGTCTCTAGGGAGACGCTTGTTTTCACGTGTCCTGGTCGCCCACGCGGATCTCCAACATGGGGATTCGTTAACGATCTCTTTAGCCAAACGCTTGTTTTCACGTGTCCAGGTCGCCCCGGCGGGTCGCTAACATGAGGATGTGTTGAGGATGTCTCTGGCGAAACGCTTGTTTCCCTTTTCACATGTCCCGAGCGAAACGTTCTTTCAGCTTTGTTCAGGGTGTCTCTAGCGAAATGTTTGTTTTCATATTCGTGGAGGGGGATGTAGCATGCGTTTTGTGCTTTGCATTTGGCGTGTGTTCACACGTCCAGGCCACACAGGGGGATATCCAACATGTGGTGTGGCTCTATGCCTGAGCAAATTGTGAGGATGTCTGCAGCGAGGGCTTCGGAAGTGAAATAGCTCTTGGGCTCGAGCTGATCGAGCGCCCCGCGCGTTTCGATTGCAACTAGCCCGAACTATGCTTTCAGGCAGCTCGAGCTTAAGATCAAAAGCAGTTGGGTCAGGATTATGGTGCCAAGGACGGCGTATCTCTAACATGAGGATTTGTTGAGAATGTATCGAGCGAATTGCTTGGTTTCACGTGTCCTGGTCGCCCAGGCGGATCTCTAACATGAGGTCGTCGGGCTCTTCGCATGTAGAAATACTCGCGCGGAGGGGACGTGTAATTGCCCGTCGCCCAAGTTTGGTATCTTGCAACGTTTCCCTGCTCCACATTTTCATCCCTTTCCGAGTTCGTGGGTCGATATGTTTACTTTTTCATCGATTGTCCTCGACGTGCGATTTTCGTTGACATGCGATTTTCGTGCACTTCTTCGGTGATGTTCGTTTGCATTTGCGATGGTCGTCAATTTGTCGCGAGCTGGCTTGCTCGGAACGGGCTTCCTTGCAACAACGCCGGCAACACGAAGTGCACCGGAAGCAAATTCGTTGCATTTTACGTATTTGAGGCTTTACCCCGGGGCCGCCACGCGCGCGCGAATTAGAATATTACCAGAGATCATCTTCGCACGCCTCTTGTCCGTCCGTTGGGCCGGCAAATTTGAGCCCCTGGTGGGTCCGGACCGAGCTGGAGCGCCCGCCAGGCCTCCCCAGCTTGCCATTCCTGGCCCCCCCCCTGGAGAGGGCCTCGAGGCCCCTGCCCCCCCCCGGCACCCTCTGGGAGGGTCTCTAGGATGGCGGTCCCAAGCTGGACCGATCTGGCCACCCAGGGAGTATCTAACATGGTAGTTCCGAGCCGGCCAAGGGGTGTGTAACATGGTTGTCCCGAGCTGGAACGACGTCCCACGCAGCAGTTTTCCTAACATGGCGGTTCCGAAATCAAGCCGCGCGTTTTCACGTGTCCAGGCCACACAGGTGGGTATCTAACATGGTTGTCCCGAGCTGGACCACGTGTGTTTACGTGTCCAGGCCGCCCAGGGGGTATAGCGTTTGCTTTCGCGTGTCCAGGTCTCCCAGGCGGATCTCTAACATGAGGATGTGTTGAAGATGTATCTAGGAAGACGATTGTGTTTTACGTGTCGTGTTTTCGCATGTTCGGGCCACCCACAGGGGGTATCTAACATGGAATTCCCGAGCTGGAGCCATATGTTTTTATGTGTCCAGGCCGCCCAGAAGGATATCTAACATTGTTGCCTCTAGATGGAACAGTTTTTTCACGTGTCCAGAGCAGACAGAGAGGGTACCTAGCATGCCGTCCCGAGCTGGAACCACGTGCTTTCACGTGTCCTGGCCACCCAGGGGGGTATCTAACATGGTGGTTCCGAGTTGGAACCACGTGTTTTCATGTGTCCACGCCGCCCAGGGGGTATCTAACATGGCGGTCCCGAGCTGGAACCACGTCCTACACAGGAGGGAATCTAACATGGCGATTCCGAAGTCAAACCATGCGTTTTCACGTGTCCAGGCCACACATGGGGGCTATCTAACATGGTTGTCGCGAGCTGAACCACGTGTGTTTACGTGTCCAGGCCGCCCAGGGGGTATAGCGTTTGCTTTCGCGTGTCCAGGTCTCCCAGGCGGATGTCTAACATGAAGATGTGTTGAGGATGTCTCTAGGGAGATGTTTTTCTCAGGCGTCCTGGTCGCCCAGGCGGATCTCAAACATGAGGATATGTTACCGATATCTTTAGCGAAACGATTGTTTTCACGTGTCCAGGTCGCCCAGGCAGATCGCTAACATGAGTATGTGTTGAGGATGACCAAATTAACACATCGACACCAGATGTGTAACAATATGACATGGTTGCTTCGTCTGGTTATTTTCCAGATTTCCCACTGGGGTATCTAACATGGTGGCCTCGAGCTGGATTCGCATTTTTTCACGTGTCCAGGCCACTCAGATGGATATCTAACATGGTGGTCCCCAGCTGGAACCAAGTTATTTATGTGTCCAGGCCACACAAGGTGGTATCCAGCACGGTTGCCCAGAGTTGGAGCCACGTGTTTTCACGAGTCTTTGCCACACCGGGAGGGTCTCTAGCATGGCGGTCCCGAGCTGGAACCAAGTGTTTTCACGTGTCCTGGCCACCTGGGGGGGTATCTAAGATGGTTGTCCCGAGCTGGAACCACGTACCACACAGGAGTGAGTTGGAGCCACGTGTTTTCACGAGTCTTTGCCACACCGGGAGAGTCTCTAGCATGGCGGTCCCGAGCTGGAACCAAGTGTTTTCACGTGTCCTGGCCACCCGGGGGGGTATCTAACATGGTTGTCCCGAGCTGGAACCACGTACCACACAGGAGTTTTTCTAACATGGCGGTTCCGAGCTCAAACCACGCGTTCTCACGTGCCCAGGCCACGCAGGGGGGCTATCTAACATGGTTGTCCCGAGCTGAACCACGTGTCTGTACGTGTCCAGACCACGCAGGGAGTATAACGCTTGTTTTTACGTGTCTTGTTTTCACGTATTCTGACCACCCACGGGGGTATCAAACGTGGAATTCTCGAGCTGGAGCCCTGTGTGTTTACTTGTCCAGGCCGCCCAGCGGGGTATCTAGCATGGTTGCCCCTAGCTGGAACAAGTTTTTCACGTGTCCAGAGCAGAGAGAGGGTATCTAGCATGGCGGTCCCGAGCTGGAACCACGTGCTTTCACGTGTCTTGGCAACCCAGGGGGTATCTAACATGGTGATTCCGAGCTGGAACCATGTGTTTTCATGTGTCCACGCCGCCCAAGGGGTATGTAACATGGTAGTCCCGAGCTGGAACCACGTCCCACACAGGAGGGTATCTAACATGGTGGTTCCGAGCTCAAGCCACGCGTTTTCACGTGTTCAGGCCACAAGGGGGCTATCTAACATTGTTCTCCCGAGCTGAACCACGTGTGTTTACGTGTCCAGGCCACCCAGGGGGTATAATGTTTGTTTTCGCGTGTCCAGGTCTCCCAGGCGGATGTCTAACATGAAGATGTGTTGAGGATGTCTCTAGGGAGACGCTTGTTTTCACGTGTCCTGGTCGCCCACGCGGATCTTCAAAATGGAGATATGCTACCGATATCTTTAGCGAAACGATTGTTTTCACGTGTCCAGGTCGCCTAGGCGGGTCGCTAACATGAGGATGTGTTGAGGATGTCTCTGGCGAAACGCTCGTTTCCCTTTTCACGTGTCCCGAGCGAAACGTTCTTTCAGCATGATTTGTTCAGGGTGTCTCTAGCGAAATGCTTGTTTTCGTTTTCGCGGAGGGGGATGTAACATGCGTTTTGCATTTGGCGCGTGTTCACGCGTCCAGGCCACACAGGGGGATATCCAACATGTGGTGTGGCTCTATGCCTGAGCAAATTGTGAGGATGTCTCGAGCGAGGGCTTCGGAACTGAAGTGGCTCTTGGGCTCGAGCTGATCGAGCGCCCCGCGCGTTTCGATTGCAACTAGCCCGAACTATGCGTTCAGGCAGCTCGAGCTTAAGATCCAAACCAGTTCGGTCAGGATTCTGGCGCCAAGGACGGCGTATCTCTAACATGAGGATTTGTTGAGAATATATCGAGCGAAACGCTTAGTTTCTCGTGTCCTGGTCGCCCACGCGGATCTCTAACATGAGGTCGTCGGGCACTTCGCACGTAGAAATACTCGCGCGGAGGGGACGTGTAATTGCCCGCCGCCCAAGTTCGGTATCTTGCAACGTTTCCCTGCTCCACATTTGTATCTCTTTCCGAGTTCGTGGGTCGATCTGTTTACTTTTTAATCGATTGTCCTCGACGTCCGATTTTCGTTCACATGCGATTTTCGTGCACTTTCTCGGTGATGTTCGTTTGTATTTGCAATGGTCGTCAAGATGTCGCGAGCTGGCTTGCTCGGAACGGGCTTCCTTGCAATAACGCCGGCAACACGAAGTGCACCGGAAGCAAATGCATTGCATTTTACGTATTTGAGGCTTTACCCCGGGGCCGCCACGCGCGCGCGAATTAGAATATTACCAGAGATCATCTTCGCACGCCTCTTGTCTGTTCGTTGGGCCGGCAAATTTGAGCCCCTGGTGGGCCCGGACCGAGCTGGAGCGCCCGCCAGGCCTCCCCAGCTTGCCATTCCTGGCCCCCCCCTGGAGAGGGCCTCGAGGCCTCTGCCCCCCCCGGGCCCCCTTCCGCGGCCCCCTTCCGCGCCCCCCCCCCTCTCCCCCCCTCCCCCCCTCCCCCGAGGGGGAAAAAAACACGCGAGGGAACAAAAAAAAAGCCCCGAGGGAAAAAAGAAAAGCCGCCGAGGAAAAAAATAAAAGCCACGACCCCCCCGAGGGGGAAAAAAAAGCCACGAGGGGGAAAAAAAAAGCTTGCCCCACGAGGAAGCGCTGATCCAGTGCGCCTCACTTCACGCAGGTTTGCGCGACTGCGTGAGCCGGGGCTTGCAGAAGCAAGCGCGCGCAGCACTCTTCTCTTATTTCAGCGGCGCTTCCGGATCCATGTCTCGCGTGGCTTGGTCAATGCACGAGGTTGCTGGCCGTTTGGACAGACTGGAGACGAAGATCGGCACCAAATTGTTCACGCTTCGCGACTCCCCACCAGCCAATCTAAAACAGGTACCGGCTATCGGGATTTGTCAGTCATTTTTTCAGCAACGATGCCCAGGGGAGTTGCTTTGATCAGGGAGGTGTGGGAGCATGCAGAGAAACGAAGAACGGGGGATGCCGCCATATCCCAAGAGGGAAGGATGGAGGAGGAATTGGAGGAGGAGGTGGGGGAGGGGGAGGAGGGAGGAGGAGGATGGGGAGGCGGACGAGGAGGGGAGGACGAGCAGAAGGGCCGGCCTCTTAGCTTGAAATCATGTTCGTGTCATCTGCCGTGTTCACCTGTCTCCGAATCTATCCAACAGCTCCTGCACGTCAGTGCCCTCGGCAAGGAGCAACAGTATCTGTCGTGCTACTGATGCGCTGAATGGGAAATGGTGTGAGGTATTTGGGTCAAGAGGGATGTGCAGGTGGAGGGATAGTAGGGGTGACACGCTGGTGGCCACGCGGACCAAGAAACGGCGCAGCCGTTCTTCTTCGGTTCGCGTGTGTACCATTTTTCCTCGTGACTCGCACCTTGAGCCAGACAGTTCCGGACGCAAACTTGCATCGCATGAGTGGCGTTGCCACCGCCCCCGTGACGCTTCGCAGGAATGGCGTTGCCACCACCCCCGCGGCACTAAGACGGCACACTGTGGCAATCTAAACGGTCGCCGCTCTGCCGTATGCAAGTGGATACAACACATTGACAACAAATATATCAACCTAATTATCTGTCCCGGCCGCGTGACCTATGCGCCTTGCGCCATGCCATGCTATGCCTCACGCACCACGCAGCACGGCCCTGTTGCTCGCCAGCGTGTTCCGGCAGGGCTCTGCCGGAACGCGCTGAGCACACTTCCGAAAATCCGCGGCCCGTCTGGACCGTTGCTCTGCAGAGCCGATGCAACACAGTGGAAGCGAATAACACGACTGAAACGTCTGGATTGTTCTCCTAAGCAGTGGCGAATATGTGCACATATATTGGTACACTGTGTGGCGGCATCCTTGCGTCTGGCAAAGGACAGAAAATCATGTCCCAAAAAACCTTTTTCGGAACATGAACTTGCTCTTCTGGAGACGACGCACGGTGCCGCAGAAGCACGCGGGACGGGCACGAACTTGTCACGAAACTTCTCTTGCTGATGGTGCCCTGTCCCACGCTCCTCCTCTTCGGCACTCCCGGTCGGGAGCGGCCGACGCTCTGCGAGACGGCTGGCTCGCTGGGACAGGGAATCTGCAACAATCGCAAATCGCACAACGACTGAAAACATGCACCATGCCAAAACAACAAATTATGCAATAGCCCGGGGCTCTACCACGAACACGTTCTATGGTGGGACGCCTGCTCGGGCCCAACACCGACAGGAAATTGTTGTCGCTTCGCGAATCCCCACCAGCCCATCCAGAAACGATGCCCAGAGGAATTGCCTCGATCAGAGAAGTGGGCAGCACACAGAGGAAGCCATTATGAGACATCTTGGGATATCTTGAGCCATCTTGGAGGTCATTTTGGGCTCTCCCAGACGCTCTTGGAGTCATCTTAATCCGTGCCCCCCCCCAAGAGGCCTCCATGTGGCTAAAACCTGTGTAGAATCAATGATTAGGCATTCTCGCCGAGGCCTCTTGGAGCATCTTGGGTGCATCTGGGGGGGCTCTTGGGGCCTCTTGGGGGTCTCTTGGGGGCCTCCGGGGGGCCTCTTGGGGGCCTCTTGGGGCCATTTTGGGGCCATCTTGGGACCTCTTGGGGCTTCCTGGGCGCTTCTTGGGGCCATCTTGGAGGAGATCGATCAAACAAGAGGGGGGGTTTAATTAGCGTCCCCCCTCGGAAGCCCCTAAAATCGCCTCTTGGACCCCTCTTGGAACGCTCTTGGAGTGCTCTTGGGCGCTCTTGGGGCCGTCTTGGGGCTCTTTTGGGGCTCTCTTGGGGCCCTCTTGGGCCATCTTGGAACCATCTCCAGGCCTCGGATGGCCATCGGAAGCGAAAAGGCGAGAAAGCAAAAATCATTGATTTTCCTTAGGTTTTGGGACGATTTTGGCCTCTTCGGGGCCTCCTTGGGGAGCTGTTTGGCCACTTGGAGTTATCTTGGGGCCGTCTTTGGGCTTCTTGGAACCATCTTAGGAGCCATCTCGAGCGATCTTGCGCTATCTTGAGCCATCTTGGAGCTCATCTTGGGTTCTCTGAGGCGCTCTTGGAGCCGTCTTGGGCCATCTGGGACGCTCTAACTACCCGCGGCCCCCCCCGTCCAGGTCCAGGGGAGGGGGTAGGGGGAGGGGTAAACCCCTCCCCAAGGGGGAAGAGGGAGGGGTGGAAGAGGATCTGCTCTAGACCACCTACGCCCAGAGGGCTGGTGGGATTATGACATCCATGCTATCTTCGGCGCGCGGCAGGCGTCGGCCGATAGATGCAAAGTCAAAGTCTGACCATCGAAGGCGACAGATCCGAGCAAAGTCTGGCATTCGAGGAGTGCGAAACATAAGCTGCAAAACGTCGCCACACTATAATCAAACCTACCGCGCGAACAGAACACGCACGCAGACAAGGAAAGTCCAGCACGCATGCGGTGGCAACCAAAATGGTCGCGCCTTAAAAATGGTGACGTTTACCCGGCCGGCGGCCAGAGAGAGGCGAAGTGCGATGCAACGACGCGCGGCAGCTACGATGACGATCAGTCCACCTGCACCTGCTGCAGGTTGAAGTGGGCCCGGATGCGGGCCATCGCCGGCGCCGCGAAGACCTTCGTGAGGCCGTCGGCGCGTTGGTCCTCGCTGGCCACCTTCACGAGGTCCAGCGTGCCCATCTCCAGCCTGGACCTCAGTGCCGCCGCTCGGTTTGCCAAGGCACGGGTGCGCCAGCTCCCCTGGCCGTGCGCCAGGTAGAGTGATGCTGCGTTGTCCCCCCACAGCGTCGGCACCGACAGCCGCACGCCCATGGAACACAGCGTCGCCTCCACCCCCTCGAGCATCAGGAGGCCCACAGTGAGCGCTGTGACCTCTGCTTCGGCCGTGCTGCGGGCGACCTGGGGCTGCCTCGCGCCAGTCCACCAGGACGTCTCCCACGAACACCGCCACCCCGGACTGCGAGGTGTCCGTCTCGAAGCTGGCGTCCGCGTACACGTCCAACTTTAGCTCGAGGCGACCTCCGGCGCGGTGGGCGCCAGGGCTGCTGGATCACGGGCGCACGACGAGGCCGAAGCGGCGCGTCCCCAGCACGTGACGCAGGATGCGCTTGCCCAGCTTCAATGCCCAAGTGGGGGCACGGCAGGCGTGCGAGCTGAGACGCGACACTGCGAAAGCAATGTCGGGTCGGCTGCGGGTCGACAGCCACAGCAGCACTCCCCCCATCTTCTGCGCCAGCTTGACCTCAGCCAGGTCAGGCTCGTCATCATGATCGCTGCGTTCAGGCACGGGCTCGAACGCGATGGTGCTGCAGGCATTGCCACCCTGAAGTCCCCACTTGGCCAGCATGTCATCGATGTACTGGCCCTGGTGCACTGCGAAGTGGTCCGAACGCGCCTCCACCTCTAAGCTCAAGTAGGTGAGCTTCCCGGGAGCGTCGAAGCCGATGCGCACCTGCGAGCTGCAGGCCCAAAGCGTGTTCAGCTTCGCCTCCACCACGTCGATCACGCTGTCAGGGCCGATCACCAGGAAGTCGTCGACGTACACCACCACCAGGCCGAGCAGCTCCCTGTCCGCCTCGAGCTTCGGCTCCAACGCCGGCGTGACCATCCAGACCGAGGCGTCGCAATGGCTCTGGCTGGACCAGCTTGCACTCCCGTCCGCCGACCTGCACGCGCATGCCGCGCATGTCAGAATCTCGCTGCAGGCCCCACGCTCGCGGCGCCACCCTGAGGCCGTAGATGCCCTTCTTGGCGATCCACAGCTCGTCTGCCGCAACCAGCCCGTAGTGGGCCATGAGAGCGGGCGGCCGCACCACCACGCGGCCGCTCTCCTCCGGCTGCGGGGCGTTCAAAACGCCGTGCTGACGTCCAACGCCAGCAGGTTCCAACGGCATTCCGCCGCAATTGCCAGCGCCATGCGCACAGACGATATCTCCACATTCTGTGTGAAGACCTGCTCATCCGGGGAGTGGGGCTGCCAATTCCCACATACTACTCCTCTCGTCTTCTTGCGCCTCCTCCTCTGCGGGTCCTCCGGCTTTGGAGGCTTGATCCCAGCCACAATCTTCATGGGCAGGATCTCGCTCATCTTCACGGTCCCACGTTCCTGCGGCGGCAGCATCTCGAACACCGCCTTCTCGTTGAAGGACGCGAGTTCGTTCGCCAATGCTGTGGACCACTCGTCCCTTTCGGCGCCCGTGGCCCGCCGCAGCTCCTGCCCAGACACCGGCTGCATCCCCGAGTCCTTCAGGACCTCGTGGAACACGGGGAGCTCGTCGTCGAAGTCGTCCTCATACAGCTCTGCCGCCTCCCAGCCATGGTGCTTCCGCTCCAGTGGGGCACGCTTCTCGACCCTCGCTGCTGCCGGAGGCCCTCCGGGAGCGCCAGGCGCGCCAGCTCCTCCTGCAGGCTCCTCCTGAAGCCGATGCTGCTGCCGCGCACGCGCAGGCTGCTTGTCACGAAGTCGCCTGCCGACGTCGCTCTGGCCGAGGCCGTTGTCCTCGTCGGCTGCCGGGGCCGCTCCGGCACCGTGCTCCTCCTGGCCCTTGCACGGCTGCGCCGCGGCAGGGCTGGGCAACTCAGCAGAGCAGGCAGGCCCCCCGGGCGCCGGCGTTCCCCGGAGCCTCGGCGGAGGCGGGTGCGGGACGAACGGGCTTGACGTCTCGAACTCCCACTTCGCCACCCCGAGCTTCGTGGTCCGGTAGCCCACGAGCGCCGCCGAGCTGACGAAGTCCGCGATGCCGAGGAAGACGCGGTCCGCTGCCCTCGGCGCGAAGGCGGAGGATGGTTTCTGCTTGATCTTGCAGGTCACCGCGGCGCCGAAGGGTGGGCAGCTCGTCGGCCTGCCCTGCGCTTCCCTCCGCTGCAGCGCCGAGGCGTGCTGGACGGCTGCGGGCCATAGCGGCTCACGATCGGCGGG